CCCCACACACACACACAATACATATCTTACACATAGTTTGCTAATTTTCCATCCATTTCCTACCAAGGATTATTTTTCGTTCATAAAACGCCTTTTCCCTTTTGCAGCAGCTGGTTCAGCTTCAACATGTACTTTTATAAACGCATAGGAATCGTACCTTGTCCTGTCCTTGTCATTATTCATTAGTGAAAAGATCTCAGTTGGTAGGTAACAGTCTCCCCTGGAACCGTTTAAACCAGTACGAAAAAAAGCAGCTTTACAGGAACAGTTCCTCAAACATGCATCTTTACAGGTATCCTTATCTGTGTTTGTAATATCTGCAGTAAATGCGAAATAGTCCACATCTTCAAGTTCCAATAATCTGTGGTCATTTAAATCAATACAAGTCAGCCTTGTGATCGCAAAGCAACCAAGATTAGGCAACCTATCATTGATCTTCCTGAAATAGCTTGTTGAATTAGAGCTTGATTTGGGACAACTACACTGTCCCATTGTGCAAATGCCATATCTTCCACAGACCGTGGGGTAAGAGCACTCGCCGTTAAAACCTGTCAGGACATCATCCACCTTGTTCCAACGACTTTGCCACTCATACACTTTCAAGTGTCCATTAGACTCAAGTTTCATATATTGAGCTGAGGATGCAGGAGGAATGGAAATCAGCATCTGCGGATCTTTGGAATTTGAGAGTAAAGATAAGCTTCCATTCAAATACATAACATAATTGGAGCCTCCACTAGTATTCAATCCACCAATAGATCTTTCAAAGTATGTTTGAGGAGGCTTTGACTCGACAAAAGCAACCAAACCATCATCGGTAGCAGAGAAAGAGAACAAACCTCCCTCAGTCCATTTTGTTGTTGAAACACTTGCTGTTAGCTTCATCCCTGATACTAACTTCTGTCCTGGAACTAAAGAATCGGTTGGGTGATCAAAAGATTGCCAAACAGTTGCATTCTTGGAATCAAACAGAACAAGATTTCCCTCATCAGTCAAGCTTAAACCAGCAACAGATTTTCCAGCACTGTTTGTCGACCAAGCTAAAGTACCATCAGCATCTCTAAGCACTAAATCCCCTTGTGCTGTAAGCTGCAAAGTAGAATTGATCTTAACAGGTTTGTTCCTGTTAGCAGACCAAACCACTTGTGGGAATCCAATACTGGGAGAAGTAATAAAGGAAACGCTATTGGTTTGCACAATGAAGATGGCAAAGAGGTAACTCTCACAATTGCCATTACAATAGAAACCACAAGCATATCTTGGACCAAAAGTTCCTCTGAGTAGTATAGCCCTTACTGTTGAGCCATCAGTGAAAGCCACTGAATGGGGTGCAGAAATACTGTTGACCCAAGTGGTTGAAAGATTTGCAGTTGGGTAATCCCAAGGTTGGCTAGCAATCAAATGAAAAGAACAGCAAAGAATGAAGGCAAGAGGAAAAATCTTGTATAGAGCCATGAAAAAAAGTGGATGATAACTTAAACTTTAACAGAAGGCAAAGTGCCTTTGGTTGCTTGAAAGATTCTAAGCTTACTGCATTATATAAGTTATCCTAATGACCCACCTATGCATTTTCTAATGCAAAATGCAAAACATAATAATGGGTCAAAAAGCAACAAGCACCTAATTTTCAAAACTTGAAGTTGACTAGTACAAATCACGCCCACTGGAAGTTTGCTGGACGAAATCATAGAATGTGAAGTTGTTGAGAAAGAAGCAGTCTTTGTCAATGATATGATGCCAGGTGCAAAGAAATATATATAGCTGCGCGAGGATCGTTGACGTATAATTTCCAGAATGAGCCTAGTTGAAATTTTGCGTTTGGTATAATATCTTTATGAGATTAACTTGTTACTTGTACCAAGATTATCATGTTTTTCCTACCAAATAACGCCCATCTTTCAACGTTCCCACAGATTACCTATGAAAGGAGTTTTTAATTTTTATATATAACGTTGTGTTTATTTCTCAGGAGAAACTTTTTTCCTCGGATAACTAATAACAAGTTAAAGAATCTTATGACATATATGGTTAATCGACCATTTTATTGCTTAATCCGTGGGCATGAATTCTACGTTCTACTTGGGATGCTGAGACTCTCTCATCTGTTTTTCATCTTCCTCTCTATTGTATCTTTATAGTTGATGGCTCAACCCAAATTCATTCAAGAGTGTAGCACAAATTTTACAAATTTGGTTCCTTGGTTCAAACTATACCTGTTTAACAGGCCGGGTTGACCTGGTTCCGAACCGGCCCAGACCGGTATTAAACCGGACCGGACTGGACTGGTGGTAGGGGGCCGGGTAGGGCTGGGTTTGGGGGGTAAGGGGTTGGTCCGTATTGATTTTCCTTACCGGTTAACCGGATAGGTCAAAACCGGTAAAGGAAAATCACTGGTGAACCGGTTAACCGGCCCGGACCGGTCCAACGGCTATTTTCAGATTTATTTATTATTTTTTTTTTTTAAAAAAAAAAAGTTGACCGTTGGCAACGGTCAGCTTCCAATTTGAAAAAATGCAAGCCAAATTCAAAAAATATTTCGTTCAAATTTCTCTGATTTACTTAGAGAGATTGACAAAGTTAGCCGCTCGGCAAAAACTATAAACAATCGCTAGCCCACAATAGCACATTACAACTTGTAGCCAAAAACAAATAAATTATGTTAACCAGCATTCCTTTTTCCCGTTTTTACTATTTACAAGAGGTTAAATTTTCATAATACTTTTTTTTTGTCTATAAATCCTCATAATACTCGGTTATGTTTCCAGAATGGTAACTACTAACTATGTCTAGATGAAAATGGAGATACTATAATTTAACTACTTCAAATTAAATTTATCAAGTCAACTATCATAGAAACAATCTTACCATCTTTTCTCTTTCTTTTTTTTTTTTTACCTTTTGAAAAGGATTTTGATCCAGAATCTATTCCAGTATTTATTAATCTATTATATTATGTCAATCTTCTCTTGTTGAAAATAATTAATAAACAGCACATTAACAATGACATCTATTATATTATGTCAATCTTGTCTTCTTTCTTGGAAACAAATCATTCACCCAAAAAGAAATTGTAATAAAAATCAATAATACAAACTCTCGGCACTTCTTTTCAGGCCAAAACTCCAAAACTTTCTTTATTCCACCACTTTCATTCTTATTTTATACAAAATTTCATCTTGCCTTACAAAATTCTCCTGGTTCAGTTTATATATTTTTTCACAAATTCTATAATCTTCACAATTCAATTCTTCTGTTTAATTTACATTGTTTCTCCTTCTACACAACAACCATCAGAATGGATAGTGACACTGTATAATTCAGTGTATACTGACTAAGTATACTGTATGGTAAGTGTATACTAAATGTAAACTCACTGAATATATACTTCTTATACATTATATATTAATTATACATAAATGATACACTTTTTATACAATAATTTTACATGATACACTTTTTGAATTGTAGAAGTTTAATGATTGTTCTTTCTCAAATAACTATGCATAACGTTGAAATATATACTAAATAGATTATCACTATATAATTTATATACAATAGACTGTCACTATACAAAATATATACAAAATAGACTGTCATTATACAAAAAATATATTAAATAGACTGTCATTACACAAAATAGACATTTCGGGTTATTAGATGTAATATGTTTGGGCCTGAGAGACATTTTATGTCAATGGGAAAAACATAGGCTATTAAAATTTTGAGGGGCTATAGAGGGTCATTTACCCATTTACTTAATTGGTGTAGTTTTAAATCCTTCTATAAAGATGTCTAATTATCACCAATTAATCAATGCTTTATATACTTATATGGAGATTGGACCAACTGAAATCCCAAATATATATTGTTGTATGAACAAGCTAAATGATTATTTACAATAATTATATAATTATTATGCAAATATAATTGATGATGTTGCTATTAATGTAGGCAATGTTAATTTCACTATGCATTGTACTACTTCTACTGCATCTGCTACTATGGATAAAGATGAAGGCCTTGATGGTTATAATATTTGGACTACATTTCCTTCTACTCAAACCAGTAGCAGGAACATTGATGAACTTCAATTCTACTTGCAAAAGCAATCAGAGCCTCGCACAAAGGAACTTTCACCGTTGGGATGGTGGCATGAGAATGAAAAGCAATTTCTTGTTCTTTCCGCTATGGCTCGGGACGTGCTGAATGTGCCAATTTCAACTGTTGCACCAGAGAGTGCATTTAATCAAGCAAGACAACAACTAGGAGACACCCGTCACTCATTGGGAAGCAATGCTTTGGAAGTTTTAGTGTGTTTCAGAGATTGGATTAGATCGGAGCGAAAAAATCAAGGACGTGAAGATGTTGATAAACCAGAAGACGAGGAACTTGGAGATATATTAACACATGGTCACCCATCTGAATTTAACAGTCCAGAAGATGGCCAAGAAGTTCATATTGATTATGAAGAACTTACTAAGGCAATGCAAAACCTTTAAAGTTCTGGATTTATATTTAATAATTAAACTTTGAATTTACTCTTTTCGTTAATTTAGTTGTTGTTAAATGTAAATTTTAATTTGCAAGTTTGAAAAAAAAAAAAAGAACTTGCAAATTAAAAGTTCTATTATTTTAAATTCTTAATGATATATTCAAATATAAAGGATTTTAAAAGTTCTATTATCTATTATCTGTAACTCTTTTTATAAGATTATTTTTTTGGTTTATATTTTTACTTTATATTAATATAAATTACGGTAGTTATACAAAATACAAAAAAAAAAAAAGGCCCACCCCGCCCCCTTAGGCCCGGAACCGTTCCAGTTCATTAAATCACTGGATGGGCCCGTACCCGTTAAACCTGGTTGGGAAACACCGGTAACCAGCCCGGATTGGTGACCGGCCGGTCACATTTTCCAGCAACCCGGACCGGACCGGACCGGCCCAGCCCCCTGTCACCTTTAGTTCAAACATGACTAGATTGAACACATTCTGCCAATAATGTTTGAATAACACAGGTAGGATCAAAATTATTTTTTATGTATATATATAAGATATTGAATTTTCTTAACTTCTTCGTGAGTTTACTTTCTTATATCTTGAATTTCCTCAGTAATAATTCTAAAGGTATCTGCTGCGTATATTTCATACGGGTGTCAGAATAGAGAATCGCATTATCAATAAAAAGTGGTGAATGAACTACATTTTCTTCTATTCCTAATAATATTATTTATTTCATGATTAAAAACATTGACGGGAGAAAGAGATTAGTTGACAAACATTCTTGATGAGGCTCAACGCAACAACCCGTCTAAAATACAACTACAAACCTGTTTTACAAGTAAACTAAAGATCTATAACATTGGCCGATGCCTACTGGCTACTAAGGTAATCACAACGAGAAGGAGATAAAACTGGAAAAATATTTGAATAAATGAGGATGAAATTTTGATGCCAAATACAGAGATACAATAAGAACAAAATAGAAAATTTGTTTAACAAAAATGGAGCCCTTAGAATTATGTATGGAAACTGATCAATCTTTTCACCAACAATAATGATGAACAAAACCTTCTTCCTTTCACCAGCAAACTGATAAAAGGCTGTCTAGGGCAGGGTTAAGCTGAACAAAGACCAGTTGATGCTGCCACTTTGGTCCCATTTGAGCTTCTTGGTATAATCCAAATATGACAACTCACCCATTCTTGAAAATATCAGCATTGGCAGCAGTCATCTAGTAATCGTATCACAATCGAACAGTTGTCGGTCAACTCTACACGTAATGCAGACTACAATAATCTTTGCTAGACTTGTAAAAACTTCAAATATGACACTCATCCTCTATTGAAAATATCAGCATTGGCAGCAGTCATCTAATAATCGTATCACAATTAAACAGTTGTCAGTCACCTCTACACGTATATGCAGGCTAAAAGATCTTTGCTAGACTCATAAAAACTTCTATCCATAGTTTATCAGTGTAACAAGCATTCATGAAAATTGAGCAAGTACATAAACAGAAACAAGCAACTGGATTCAAATCCAACTACCTCCAGCTAATATGGTATGCCTTGTGAGACGAACAAAGACAGATAAAGTTCACGGGAAATAAAAAATGTTAAACAAAATATATAGCTACACCAAAGTAATTTTCACCAACTACATCAAATATATACAGCACTGAAAAATTAAGTAAAATCTAGAATCAGCAATCAGGCTGATCAAAGCGGAGTAAGGCTTTCTCATCTTCATCTCATCCACAAGAGCTTGGTTTCACATATCTTTCTCAAAGAAGAAAAGAGCTTGGTTTCATATCAAGTGCATGGATCAAGAACAATTTCTATTCTCCATACTGTCCACGGCCCAAAAGAAAAGAAAAAAGTACATAATAGGTTTAACTACCAACCCTTTCCGCCACTTCCCAACCAAAATACTAGCCTAATGCAGGCTCCTAGAGCATTAAATACAGACAACCACAGTAATATTCAATTTGTTCCTGGGCATGGACACGGAGCAGCTTAAGTAGGATGTTGAATAACCTCCTCGTCCATTTTTTGTGATTTGAAAAATTCTTTCATCTGATATACCTTCAGTATTTTTTAATAAGTTTGTTCACCAGACTAGACAAAAGGTAATTTAATTGAAATTCATAAAAACTATGATGATACAAAACATTCCCCCCTTCATATGCAAACATACAGAGAGCATGACAGCATTGTAGTTAAGAAGCTTACAAAGTTTGCAAATGCAGATAATACGGTATAGGAACTTCAAGTACAATCATCTTGATCTTCCAATTCTTCAAGAATAACATACTTTGCAGCTGCATTTTGCATTGAGGATCGTGACATCTCATCTTCACTTAGATTTCCTTTTTGTAATTTGTCATACCTGAAAAGCAGAAGCGGATAACAATTTAATATCTAGCAAAACCATCCAACAATTCTAAAATTCTATGGTAACATGGGGATAAACATCTTCCTATGGATCGCAAAAACCTGTCTGTATTATGATGTAACACGATTCAGTTTTCTGTAGAAACTTGAAGTACAATAACAGATTCAGTAAATTATAACAGGGCAATGAAACAGATCTAGCGGCTGCGGGTCACAGAGAAATAATACTCCAAGTCACTAATAAAATCACCATTTTTCAAGTAATTATTTCCCTTTGCAACCCTATCCTATTAGCGATTTGCTAGACGAATTATAAACAAGTTTGGTTTGATTAGGTGCTGTCACTTAAGTAAAATACATCGTTACACGATTTCTGGTAAACACCCTGGCCATGCGATGTAAGAATTACCGAACTAGCACAGATACTAGTTAAGTTGAAATTAATGCAAAGCGGTGTCCAAAAATAGAAAATTGCTCCAAGAAAATATGCACTAGTGTGTTAAGAACTTAGTTATTTTTTATCAAGGATTAAAGAGTTAGATCAAGCAAAGATATAGTCTTAAAGTGAAAGATGGAAAAAAAGCAAAACAAAGGAGATACACGAGAATAGAGATTTATACTATATCATTGCCATGTCTATTATGAAGGGGAGCCTTAGCATAACTGGTAAAAGTTGTTGTCACGTGACCAGGAGGTAATGGGTTCGAGCCGTGGAAACAGCCTCTTGCAGAAATGCAGGATAAGACTGCGTACGATAGACTCTTGTGGTCCGACCTTCCCAGGACCCCGCACATAGCGGGAGCTTAGTGCATCGGGCTACCCATTGCCATGTCTATTATATTGACTAAGCTCTCTCCCAATTTATATGGCAATATTTGACTGAGCACAGAATCTTTTATATTAATTTGATTTTTGAATTATATAAATAGCAAGCAAAGAAAATCATAAAATGGTTGTTGAAAAATAAATAGTATAGGAAAAACATCATATCAAAGTTTAATTTTGTATATTTAAGTATGCATTCGGAAAATATTTGGTCGACGTTAAAAACTAAGAGTATTTGAAGTTGAAATTGAAAGAGTATATGGAAGCTGAAGTTGTGTTTAGACATGTATTTCACTTGAAAAAATAAATAGAATTTTTGTGATTGAAAACCATTATTTCACTTGAAGTACTCCACAAAAAAGTTTTTCAATATTTCACTAGTATTTCAAAATACTAAAGTTCAATATTTGTAAATAATTGGGGATTTACTGGGTTTGTTGTTGTTGTTGTTGATGGCCAAACTTCAACTTAGAAATAATGACTTCAGTATTTGTAAGTGAAGTCATGGCCAACCACCCCCGATACCTGATTTTTTATATTTATTGAAAATTATTTGGGAGTGACCCACGTGGATGATAAGATACGGGAACCTAGGTTGAGATGGTACAGGCATGTGAAGAGTAGTACAGATGCCCCGGTGAGGAGGTGCGAGAGGTTGTCCATGGTTGGGCTGAGGAGAGATAGAGGTAGGCCCTAAGAAGTATTGGAGAGAGGTGATTAGGCATGACATGACGCAACTTCAGCTTACTGAGACCCTTGATAGGAGGGTGTAGAGGTAGGGAATTAGGGTAGAAGGTCAGTAGTTAGGCGGGAGTGTCTCCTTTTCATGCCGGTAGCATTAGTATCAGTCTCCTAGTTTCATACCTTCTTAACCGTAGATTTCTTTTACTATATGTCGGTTCTTTCGCTTCGATTATTCTATCACCTTGTCACCTTATCACCTTATCTTGTTGTTGTTACTACTTGTTGTGTCTGCTTCTTTTACTTTTACCTTGAGCCGGGGGTCTATCGGAAAGAGCCCCTCTACCTTCACAAGGTAGGGGTAAGGCCAACGTACACTCTACCCCTCCCAGACCCCACTTTGTGGGATTATACTGGTTTTGTTGTTGTTGTTGTTTGGCAGAATGCTTTTAATAAAATAGTGTCAAACATTTATGAATGGTCATAAATGGAAAGAATGTCATGTAAACTGCGAGGGATGAAGTGCATTAATTACATCTAATCAGTAATATCCACATTATTATGAAAAGGAGGAATGAATGTTGGGTTTAAGTCTTGGACAGAGCTGGTCACAGTCGAGACCTTTTTCTCTAAATGGCCAAGACTATGAATTTAAGCAAGAGAAACAAGACTTAAATGAAACCATTTAAATGGCAAAAAAAAAAAAGACTTACAATCAGGAAAAATTCTAAAAACTTCTACATGTAAGGGTGTGTCAGGTTAATAAAAATATAAACGAGATTTGCAATCTAAATGAAGAATCTTCATATTAGTTTTTCTAATATGGCACACATGCAAAATGTGAACGTCATGCTTGGTGTAAAATGAAGCGTAGGATCTGTAACTCATCTAAGAAGAGTAGCAACAATGCCAGCATCAAATTAATCAATAAGGCAAAACATCCAACTAGTAGCAATGGAAAAGCTTATCTTCACCAACATACAAGTGGACTTTATGCCAAATGAGATTGAAGAAATCACTACATAAAATGAGGAAACATATTGCAGTTGTAGTTTAGACGAGTGAACTTTATACGAACTGAGGATGAGGAACTGACAAGATAAATAGGAGTAGACATCTGCAGCAGGTCTTTAAAGAAAAAACTTATCTATTTTTAACAGCAGCAGGAAGTAAGTAATCACAAGATAACTTTTGCAAAAATATGAGAGCTCAAATACTCACTTGTACCAATTAAACAAACTGACACCAAGCATTATTGTCAAGAGACCAACACCTTTCATCCAGGTAAACTTATCATGGAAGTAAAAGACAGCAACCTGAAAATGCCACCGACATAATTACCAATTAGTTTCAGCAACTGTAGCAAGCCAAAACCGGAAAAACTTTTCAACTAGCGAAAACTGATTCTATCAGTCTAATGCGATTGAAGATACATGATTGGCTTGAAGTAAAAATATCTAGGAAAATGAGGTATATGCGCAATAAAAGAGATCAATAGTGTGCAATATTGAAGTTACGTCACGCTCATTGGCAAGCATATATTCACTGCCTGATGGCTCATGGCATGGACAAGTGCTCTCCTAGATGTCATATATACACCACCAAATATACTTGGAAATGCATGATTAATCTGATATTGTTATTATTTTGTATCGTAAGTCACATTTGCTAAACTTTCTTTCTAGTTTTCAGAGATGGCAATATCTTACAGCTCAAGCTCCCTGCAATAGCTAATCTTATTTGAATATAGGAAGGGGTATTCAACTGTTATTGCTTCAACGGTTCTGCTACTTCCGAAGCCCATATAGGACAAACCATCTATGTGTTCCACCTCCCCCCAAATGCTATTCACGGAAGAAGGAATTGTATGGCTTTCTAATTAACAATCCTAATGTTCATCAAGAAGAAACAACCTATAAATTCCATACAGTAAACTGCTATCAGAGAACTGCTGAAATGTGACTAACTATTAACCAGTTACATTACTTGTAAGCTCTTTTATTTTGATCAGTCAGTTACATTACATTACTTAAGATTGCTGCTCGCGCTAAAGCAATTGTAGAAAGTAGGAGAAAAAGATAGAGAGAACTTGGTTTTTAGATCATACCAAGATAGTGACAGCCTCCTTTACGACTCCTGCTATTGTCACAGTTACTGCACTAGTAACAGACACAAGAATATACTCTGTCAAAACCTGCAAGTAAACAAAAGAGCAGAGAAAGAAAATTATCTCTACGTGCATGGAAGGCGTATCAAATTTGTTTATAGCTTCTAAACATTCTGGTGTTTTTGTAGACAAACACTTTCCAGAAGAGAAAGAAAAGGCAGTAAAAGAAATCTACCACTAGAATATTGGATAATTAAACACTCGAATTGATTGATCTTGATATACATGCATACCATAAAGAAAGCCAATGTTCCACCAAAAAGCATCAGCAAACAACTTCTAGTAATGTGCCATGAGCTATCAAAGTAACTGTTGTCTCCGAACTCATGCCATGGATCAAAAATAAGAGACAGCACAGCAGTTGAAATAGCCATCACTGGAGTAACATAGCTCATTAGCGTGAGTGGATTTTTTAAACCTGAAATAACCGAAGCGTGTCATAAATGTATGTACAAACTACTAGTTAACATTCAAAGGATAAATTTCAATATATAATATTCCAAGTAGCTATTTTTCTTAAAAGCAAACATGATTTTGTCAGAAAAACACAAAGCACATCGTGCTGAGTTAGTGCAATCCGGAGGATGTCTAATTGATTAGATGAGCTCAAAATTGCCCTTTGTACCCTGAGGAAGTACTAACTTTTATTTGGGCTTAACTTTCTAATAACCTAAGTGTACTACTTCTCTTGGTTTACAGCTCCCATGAGTGTCGAGGAAAAAAGTAAGCACTTCTTGCATTCCTTGGAAGGTGTCAATGGGCGTCAATAGACCACTACTTTTTTTTAATAAAGATGTTGGTATCTAGGCCAGCTTGCGCACACCTCAACTATTTCACTAGGTACCTACTACCTCCCACCAACACAAGTACTAAGTAACTTCGCCCACCAATGTTTAGGCAAATGGGACGAAATCACCTGATATTTCTTTGTCTCTACTGGGATTTTGCACCCAGTTCATTGACTACTAGGCCACACGCTCGGATGCCATCAGTAGACCACTACGTTAGTTGGAAGCTGGAACTTCCTCACACGCCTTTGGAATGCTCTTACAGGATTGGGCAAAATGCAGTTTAAAACATTTTTCTGACGGGGCAATGGTTGCTTTGCTCCAGAACTAAAGGCCTTAGACATACATAAGGTTGTAAATAGCAGAGGAACCTTTTAAGAAATGGTAGGGATGCAAGTTCTGAGAACCAAGATAACTTGTGTAAGTCCTGTGGTAATACTTGTGTTCACCATGATTCAGTCTTAACGTGTTTCTTACACAATCTGTATGGACATTATTTACTTCTTAAGAGCATTGGCACAACTTTTCATTCACTAAATATTGAAGATTTAGTTTAGAACTCGCAAGGCTGATCTAGCTACTGTTAAAGGGGATTTAGCTACAACAGCATGCTGGAATTTCAAGGTAAAAGCTTGCCTCGTCTTTGTTCCACAAGAGTTGTAAACTTGAAGCTTTAATCTGCAGTTGCTATGAAGTCCCTCAAAATATTGGGTTGGAAATAAAGCTTACTTGATCAAAAACAATGTTGCGTTGGCAACTAGGCCCCTAAAATGCTTTCTTGGGCCCAACCCTCTTAACTCCTTAAAAGGTAGCAATTATTCCATTCATTTAGTTTCTCTTCACAAAGGCGTTAAATCTGAGGGCATAATAGACATTCCCATTTTTGCTTTAACTACCACTTCTCCATAGTACTCGACCTTCACAATGCAACAAGTGTTTTATGGTTTTCTTCGCTTTTTCCTTTTTCTCAATTTCTTTCTTCCTTCCCGTCAAGATACTCTGATCTATTTGACTTTCCATTTTCTCCTCCTCCTCCTCCTCCTTCTCTTTCTCTCTCAAGTTAAAATCTACTTACTCCAGATATCATACCATAGATATGTAATGACGTAGATTTCAATTTATATGAACTTATTTGACTGGGCACGGAGTTTAAGAAAAAAGAGAAGACTTTTGAACTTGTGGTGTAAAATGAGGCACATATATTTTGTGTGGCTATAAATCATTGCAGAAAGGTAAATTATTTCCAAATATGGAAAGGGGTCATTCTTTTTGGCATGGACTAAAAAGGAAATAGGTTCACATAAATTGAAACGGGGGAGTACAATATATATTCTTACAGAATTAAACCGAAATACCTGATTAACTATCAAATTTGGCCAGACTAGGGTCAAAACAAACTGTATTAAAGTAGAAATAGAAAATTTTGCAATCTATACTAGAAACAACAGCAGATATTATCTTCTCTTCAAGGTTCCCAACCAGTTCTTTAAGCCAACACATTCAGTTTGATGCATGACCTGGCTACATGAATCTTTCATTTCTGAATAATTCAAATAAGCATGGGCTAGAGGACAATTCAGCATGATTCTCTTCAGTAAAGAGGTGGGTAACTATGCCCAAAACCTATCATCTTCATTCGTGAAATAATAAATACCAGCTGGTCTTACTATGACAAAACTAAAACAACAAATAAAATACCTTAACTTCTTAAGGGAAACCCAAAATAGGTAAAATGAAGAACACATTAACTCATTCACCAACAATATTAATAACATAACTATAACATGAATAAATGCACTTTCAGAGCTTTGAAGTTTGCTATAATTTGCTGATAGTCCTTACCATAGACTTCTTTCTTTATGAGAGTTTTTGGTCAGCGCGCACCCGTTGGATGGAATATTGGAGAATGAACACAAAATAGACGAAGTGAGCACAAGTATGAAGAAGAAAATACTGAGAAAAGAATTCACTGCTAACAATTAAAGTAAGGAACGCGCTCCTACCTGCAGAAGTATCTGAGTCATAGTCCAGCGGAACCCAGACATAACAGCAGCTAGCATAACAAAGATAAATCCCCAAAACTGAAACTCTGTTTCCTTTGCAACTGTATCATCAACCAATAAAGGTCAGATGTGCTTACTGAACAGATATGATTTACAGACAACAGAATTAGTGAAAAGTCACAACGTAATAGAGTTAATTAAGCACTCAAATTTGAAGATAACGAGGTAGTCAAATGGATAGAGATAGTTGTGAAGAGAATAACACAAATGAACTCAGCCATAACCAATCAATTCAGCTACGCTGTGTGAATTCCATGTTTCTCAGTTTTCTTTGTCTACATTCAATGGCTATACTATTCATTAACCCATATGTCATGACATTTCCTTAAAATTACTCTTTTCATCTCATTCGTTATGATTCTTTCTACTCTTTGCACCAGTGGTTTTTGTAGTGCTCCGTTCAAATGATTGCACCCTAGCAGAATTGCATGACAAATTCCGTACGGTTTTAACTTATGTCTTCACACTACCTTGTGGAGTCACTACTCTATCACTTTCCTCATCATTCTCAGTACTCGTATATTGTAACTTTCCCTTTCTTGTTCCACTAGTATCCATCTCAACTTTCTCATTCCAGCTAGTATTGTTGTATGAAAAAAAAATTCAGCCTCCTCCTAGTTGAAAGGAGAATGTACCATGGCAAACGATAAAAGTAAGAGTACAGCATACCTGTTAATAGTATCCCAATAGAAATAATCAACATGATCCCTAGCAGCTTTAAACTCGGTGACTCAATCCTATTAAAAAGAGTTTGAGGTTAAAAACAAGCAGTAGACCAAATAAATGCAAAATTATAAGAAGTCATTTCCGAGAGATACCAAATGAATTCATTCATGAGATAGATGGAAAATTTAACCATTAAAGGATCAGGCACACAACGGATGGAAAAAAAAGGCCTGCCTTTCTCAGCATGTCTACCCACTAAAGAGATCCCGCTTCCTCTAAGGTCATGCGATTTGCCTGAGCTTTATTCATGGGAAAGAGACTAGCTGAACAATTAAAAAGGGCATCCTTTTTTAGCACCTAAGTAGTGAAAGACATCAGGGTAAAGAAGGGTTAATCCACACAATTCTAGCACAGGATATCTCCTGCTTCTGCTAAGGTCAAGTCTTGCTGGACCTTCTATTCATAACAAGGCAAGATATTACGTGAACAAAACAGAAAGCAACCATTCCATGAGATACAATGATTCTCTTCTTAAGAACCATCAACAGTCAAATTATTTCAATATATTTATTCAAGATTTGGAACTAGTAAACTTTGTTCTTTAAGGAAATAGGTCATATTGACAAAATAAAGAGTAAGCCAACTACAATGGGATGGAGGGATTGTTAAATTAGATTAACACACAGTAATCTTGAGGGGCAACATGGATTAAATTGTGACCAACTTGCAATTTCAAAACAGAAGTACTAACAGCACAGAAAGAGCTTCACCAAAAAGGCTAGTAGATACCAAGACCAAGGGCCTATCCATACCATAGGACTCTCTAGGAGATTTAGTAGCAAAGAGAGCAATTTCGTTTACCCTCATTTCCACATTTTCAAATAACCACAGAATGCAATTTTGATCTGTTTTCTCCATGGATAGAACAATGATGTATTCTATCTAAAGAAAAAAAGATCCGGCAAAAGATTGAAGAGTCTTCATATGCAAAAGTTACCCGTTCCATTCATTTTATATGGCATGTTTGATTGGACATGGATTTTAAGAAAGAAGGAAAGACTTTTCGTACATACCAAAAGTACCCTTAAAACTTGTGTTTTTAAACATGTCATGAGATTTCGAGAACTATGTAAGCATGTCATTAAGGGTAAAATGGGAAACTTAAAATCAAAAAGTTTCCAAATATAGAATGATGTCATTCTTTTTTATACTGACTAAAAAGAAAAGAGTGTCATATAAAATGGAACAGAGGGAGTAATTGTGCACATAGATGAGTAGTTCAACTAGACATGCATCTATGACACACAGTAAAGATTCAATGAGACCAGTGATTAAACGAAGTACCTGAAAGCAAAAGCGAACAGTAGGAGAAATATCGGTGCTGCAGATTTACACTGCAATGATAAACTTGCCATTAGGAGCCAAGAATTAATGGGGTAAGGGAAGGAAACTAGAGGATTATTCTTTGTTTATAATTAAAAGTAGAGAACTATTTCGCTCTCTCTCTCTCTCCCTTTAAGTCTTTCAAAATAACATTTTAGTGACAGGGTTGTATTGTCAGTGTTGTTAAAATTTTAGCGGATGAAAGTGAAATTTCTAGAGACTTGAAGGAATTTGGGATTGTGTCCTTTTCTATGTTCCCTGGTGATTCAAACTTTCCAAAACAAAAAATTCATCATATTGATTGGTAATGTATGATTTACAAGGAGAAAGAATACACACCATAGTAGCAAATGTGACTGATATGAAAACAAGGGATGCATTACTGAGGTTGACATCCATTGCCGTACTGAGAGCTGTGGGTACAACTGTGAAAGGCAAAGGCCATCTGTAGCATTAGTTGTCAGAAAAGTTAATAAAAATTAGCAGGAAACTATTGGAGACCAATATATATATAAGTTATGCACTAGACTTTTCCATACAGGTGCAAATAAAAAGCATAAGTGATCATATGCCTCGAATAAATGAAGAACTGAAATTCTTTCCCCGAAAAAACAAATAAATGAACAGAAACTATAACTTCAAGTAGATAAGATAAATTGAACTATCATTATAGTTCAGACAACACCACCATACCAAAATATAAGCATTGCAATAAAATATCTGATGCTTTGACAAAAACAAGGTACTGAAAAGCAGAAAGATCACACGCCTATTAGCGGGAAACTGGTCTGAGGTTCCAAATATGCCTTTTTATAGGGAACATAATCATAGATGACTCAGTAATTGCAAATGAGTATGTTAACTTGAGATTGAACCAGAAAAGAGCAGGTGTAATGTGGTAGACTTGGAGAAAGCATGCAACCACAAAATTTGGTCTGTAATGAAGGACATGGGCTTTGATGATAGATTGAATTAAGTGGAAAAACATCTGCATTTCTTCAATCAGATTAGCTATCATAATCAATGACTTCCATAAAGGTTTCTTCCCTACCACCGGAGAATTGAGCTAAGAGTGAACCCCTGTCGCCTTTCTTATTTATACTAGTAATGAAAAGATTACGTCGGATCCTAAAAATAGCAACAGATAAAAGGTGGATTTCTGGATTTTGAAGTAGAATGCTGGAAATTCAGTAACGGTATCTCACATCTATTGACTGATGACACATTAATATCCTATCGGGGACGAGGAACAATGTGCTTTTAGAAGCTGTACTAGTTGCCTTTAAAGCCGTATCTTAGTCTACCCATAAATATGGCTAAAAGCTCCATGATCCCAGTGAATGAAGAGAGTGATATCCAACAGTTAGCAAGTACACTTGAAGGTAGGGTGGTAAATTTCCTAAGGCATACTTGGACTTCCTTTAGGAGGAAACACAGGAAGAGATAATATGGAAAGGAGTGATCGGTTGAGAAAAGATTAGCCACAAAGAAGAAAATACTTATCTCTGGGAGGACTATTAACACTGGTCAATATTGAGTTGGACAGTATCCTCAGTCCTCACATATGTAACGTCTCCATTTCCTATACTTGTAAGTATCGAGAAGCAGTTGCACAGTATAAGAAGTAATTTCCTTCGGGAAGAGAACTGTGGAAAATGTAGGTGGTGCAATGGTCCAAGGTGACAACAGCTAAGAAAGCTTCTAAGACTTGTAATGTGGTAACTTGACACAGCTAAGACTTGTTTTCTGTGATGCCGATATGGATCAGTTGACCTGCCTAAAGCAGGTACTGCAGTGGTTTCAGATAGTATCAGGACTCAAAATCAACCTCGGCAAGTGTGAGATTTTCCCGGTGGGTGAGGTTGCTAACATTGATGCTTTGTCTCATGTTCTCGGATGCAAGATGGGCTCTCTTCCCACTACTTACCTGGGTCTACCATTGGGCGGTTTGCAAAAGGATACAACTGTTTGGAATCCAATTATTGAAAGGGTTGAAAAACGATTAGCAGGCTGGCAGAAACGGTATTTGTCAAAAGGCGGTAAGGAAGTGCTTATTAAAAGCACTTTGTCGAGTATCCCTACCTATTACTTATCCCTGTTGCAAGCACCTGTGAGCATCACAGAAAAACTGGAGCTACTTCAAAGGAATTTTCTTTGGGATGCGGCAGATGGAACTAGAAAGTTTCATCTAGTGAATTGGCAGACAGTCACTTCCCCAAAGAAGTGGGTGGACTTGGAGTAAAAGATCTCAGGGTATTCAACAGAGCTCTGCTGGGGAAGTGGCTGTGGAGATTCGGGGTAGAAGAGCATGCTCTATGGAGGGAGGTCATAGCAGAAAAGTACGATTCCACGGGAGGGGGTTGGAGTACCAAGGCAATCACAGCACCGTTCGGGTGTGGCATGTGGAGGAACATCATGAAGAACTGGGAAGCTTTCTATGGCAACATCACTTACAAGGTGGGAGATGGAAGGAGAATCAGCTTTTGGAATCACAGATGGTGTGGAGAGACTACTCTGAGGGTCTCTTTCCCCCACGTCTTCAGAGTTTCTAACCAGAAGGAATTTATGGTCCAACAAATTCGCAAGGAGCATGAAGGGAGGATAGTATGGGACCTCTCTTTTAGAAGGAACATGCAAGATTGGGAGATTGCGGAGCTCCAAAATTTGTTGGCACTGCTATACGGGCAAGATATGCCCAATCCATCTTATGATTCTTGGAGATGGGGGTTGCGTGGCGATGGCTTGTTCACCGTAAAGTCCTTCTACCAGAGTATGTTAGTGAGACAGGAGACTATTTTCCCTTACTCATCGATCCGGATTCCTAAGGCGCCTACGAAGGTGTGCTTCTTTGCATGGCTAGCAGCGAGGGGAGTGATCTTGACATCTGAAAATCTGCGAAAGAGAGGAATTACACATGTTAGTTGGTGCTACATGTGTAAAAGCTCAGGGGAAGAAGTTGATCATCTTATGCTGTATTGCCCTGTGTCCTGGGGTTTATGGAGGGAAATCCTGAATCTTTTTTGTGTTCAATGGGTGATGCTAAACACTGTAAAGGAAATGCTATATAGCTAGGCCGGTTTCCGTAGAAGAAGAAAGCAAAAGGCGTGGAAGTTCGCCCCGTTAGCTCTCATGTGGTTAGTCTGGGGAGAGAGAAATAGGAGAGTTTTTGAGGGGATCGAGTCTCCGTTTTCACACCTTAGGAATAGTCTTTTATCTTTGCTCGCTTTTTGGTGCACACATGTAGCCCCTACTTGTGTAGAAGATTGGGCGTCATTTGTAGAGAATCATGTTCAGATGTAAATTCTCTACTTTTTGTATACTTCTTGTATGCGAGAGTTTTTTCTCCCTTTTGATTAATACAATTTACCTTATCAAAAAAAAAGAACTTGAGGTTGCATAATAAATTTCAATTGATCAATTGGTTTTGAAATTGGAGCAGATTCAAGAATATTTTTGAAACTGGAGGACGTCCAAGCATTATCTCCATAACCAGATCACTGGTCCAGAGAGCAAAAAAGAATTTTTATCATACTACGATCTAAGGGAAGATCAGTGGCCTCGGAGAAATTGTGGCGGAACAAGGCACCTCTAAAACATGTGTTTTACATGGATTAAAATGCACAAGGAATTCCTTACTCAAATAGAAACTTCAAAGAACGGGAAATGCTACCTGCAACTATATGTTTGACAGAACTTGGACGACTTGTTCCTACACAGCGCCTTTTTTTTTGACAAATTTGAAGTCCACTTTAAATCTTATGTAGAATGAAGCGGGCGATGTTAAAGGAGGCCATCAGCAGGAGAGGCCAGAAAAAAGCAAAGCAACCCAAAGTCCTATGGAATACTATACCATTCTTCATTGTATGCACAGTGTGGAAGGAGAAAACAGATTCACTGTATAAAACTTTGACGTTGAGCATCTTTATCTTATTGGGGTGCATGAAAGATGTAAATTATTGACACTTTGTTGGACTTTATAGACTCCTCGGATCATAGATAGGTCTAACTAGTTTTCATCATTATACAAATCTCAGCACTCATTTTCTGTTCTTTTTATAATTCAATTTACTTATCAGATAGAAGTGCATGCGGTTGTGCCAAGTGGGTTGCTAGTCAAATCCATCAATGAAAATGATGTACCAACTGGGCATAGAACTATGCAAGGATCATGCAGTTTGTCTTCCAATTAGTGAACCCTACAGGCAAATTATACAAGGAAAGAAGTGAGCCTAACACAGTACTCTTGGGTTACAGTCTCCTGCTTCTCAATTCTCCTACACCTCCCAAATGTCAGAACAGTTCTTAGCATCTATAATTATTTATAATCTTACAGTAGAACACATTGAACAATTAGTTGAAAAGCAATAATAATGCATGCTTAAGAAAAAACCTGTACCCTAGTATTATAGCTTAAAGAAAACGGATGTGACGATCATACTTACCTCTCAAAAAATAATCTTTCCAACTCATCATTACAGTGAGTTGAAATTTTCGGGACCAGAACCAGGTAATGAATTTGGACAAAATGGCTTGCATTGCAAAGTGGAAGGTATTCATCAGTAAAGGAGCAGGGAATTTCCCTAGATGATCCCCTAGAAGAGTTTTATTGTACCTGGACCAGGTGAATATGTGATAAGAACCAACGTGTTTAAAGTTTCAATACAGATGAGAGGAAACAAATCACTTAGTCAAATCATAAGTTCATAACCAAGTAGACTTACAATGTCAAGAACGTACTGAATGTGTACCATACAAGTATTAATACCAACGTCTTCAGCACATCAGCAACAGAAACAACATTCTTTGAAATTGCTCGCGATGGATCATGGTGGTCCGTATAAGTGGAGCCTTCCCCGCCAGCACTTGAATATGTTGGATTACTTCTAGAACCGTTCTCTACGTCAAACGGAACATATCTATCTTTTCCATTCCCAGTAGATGCAACAGCCAAATCATCACCACCCTTCATCCTCTGCTTATAATTTTGTGTATCCTCGCCTACAGATCCATTTCCTATACCGTTCTGATTAACCAGTGGCAGTTCAAAGTCAAAGTCATCAGTGAGGGTACGAACATTCCCTAATTGAGCTGAATGGAGGGTGCCATTATCATCACACCAGCCCGAGAAGGAAGGCGCCCTCCGAAAGTTGTCAATTGCACTCTCCTCAACCTTGTCTATAATCAAATCACTCTCTACCATCTCATTTCTCCTCTACAATCAAAGCCATCTATCTCCCATCGACAACCAAGCAAATCAGCTCAGTTGTCCAACGTAGAACTATATCTGCCAGTTATCTTCACCAGACTAATTCTAATGAAACTTTTACAACTCTAAACTTACACTATTAAAATCTGATAAACACACCTTAGAAGTGATTGAAATCTGCAGTGAGCTCCCCAATCCAATTCACTGGTGGCCAAAATAAGTTCAACAATCTGCATTAAACCAACTTGAGATTTAACTCAAACCCCAATTCAAATATAAAGTAAATCTCCCAAAATCTTGCAAAAAGAAACAGTAAAAATCAAAACTTTGAATCCTATCGAATTAAATATTCAAAAAATTGGAAAACGAAACGAACCCCATTTCTATAGCAGGTCTATAGAATCAAGAAGAACAAATGATATTGGAGAATCAAGAAAGCAACTAGTAAAAGCATTGAGAAAGAAAGACAAAAACTGACCTGAGCTTCTGTGGGTTAATGGATTTGAATAGAAGATTTTAAATCGAGAAATTGGAGCTTAATAGGGGAAGGGGGTGTGATCTGATCTTGGATTTCCGTTAGGTGGAAGACAATAATACAAAAGAAAAGGTTTGGTTTAGGGGGTTATTCTTGTCGTCGGTTAAGGTGGGTAAAATTGAAGGAAAAAATCAACTACAGCTGACAGCTTATGTTGGTTGAATTACTTTAAAACGCTGAAGTGTTTTTAGATTAAAGTTTAAGATATGGATTGTGATTTTGGTGTTAGCTATAAAAACAAAATAAAAAAGAAGATTAAAGTTTAAGATATGATGGGCATTGGATTTATTAATACCAGATTTTTAAGTTGCTAGATCTCTACTTCTTCGACAAGATCTGCAGTTATGTGACTAAGACGTGCCAACATCTTTTCTTTTTTCCTTTTCTATTTTTTTCTGATTTATAATCTTATTGCTTTCTTTGTATTAATTAATGGTGTTCTTGCAATAACTGCTTTGACTAAGAATGAGTTATTAGCAGTCGCTCACGAATATTGACATAAACAGCCAGTTATCATTGATTTAAAACTTTCTGTTTTTTTTCCTTTAATTGTTTTTTTGTTTTTTGCTTTTCTTGGAGACTGTTTGTTTTGTTAGGTTGAAAAAAAAAACACTAAGTTACTATTAAAATATTTCATAAGCAACCCGAGGGATAAGAAACTCCAATTGCTTATGTGATTCTATCAAATTAACCAATCTTAAATCTACTTTGTTTGGCTTCCTCTAAATAAATGTACTTAAAGGTGACCTTGTTCACTTGTAGCCCGTATTTGAAATTGGGGATGATCTTGTACAATTTTCTTATGATAAATTTAATAGTAAGTAGACAATTAATTGCTTTCTCTACGACATGAGACCTTTCGTGAAAAATGAAAACATCAATGTTTATTCATCTCAACTCTTGATAGAATTGAAGGGTATCCATGTGCAAGGCAATGTATATTAATTGCATGTTCTTTGTTAGGTGACCAAATAAATTGCAATTGGCAATTTGTCATAGACAGTTATCAGTCCATGAATAGAAGAACACCATGATCAGGGGCATATCCAATGAACAAGCTTTCGGCTTAGACTATGTATATGTAATAGAGTCAACCCTCTTTAATAGTCTTGTTTGTACTGATATGTTTGACTTTTATAGTGAATAATTGTTATACACTTATAGCAGCATAAAAACTATCCAAAAATGAATTATTTTTTCTTTTTAATGTTACATATAAGAAAATAAGAAAAAAAATCAAATTTAAAATCTCAAAAGATATGCATATTTAAAATTGTCTACTAGTTAAATATTGAAAAAAGCTAATATACACTATTAATAAATTCGTAAATAAACGTATAAAGATTTAAACTCTAAGACACACATTTTAAAGCTACCTACAAAAACAAATTCTTTTAAGATTGATGGAAGAATTTTGTAATTGTAGCTTGTTTTGTAGATTTCATTCTCTTACTAGCGATATAACGCCTGAATTGGCGAAGATTCGTGCCCAAATTTTTAGCAAAAAAGTATCTAATAGCTTTTCCTTGAAGACAATCTTAGAACTTAACAGTTAAATTTTCTATCTAAATATTTTTTGAAATTTGTCCAATGAAATAAATATCATGTGCAAATCTTCAAATCTTATATCTTATGCAAGATAGAAACTTTGTTTAATAGAAAAGATTGTGTGCATATATTTAGAATTAATATTAGTAATCTTAAAGATTCTATATGACTGTTATAGATGTGTAATTTTACAAAGAGCGTTCAACTACAAATATGATTGTTGTTGTTATAGGTAAAAAGTTATTATAGAGGTAAAATAAAACTTTAAAAAATCGGTTCTGAGGAAAACTTAGTTTTTATAGTGAATGACTGTTATATAAGGATGTTGTTATAGAGATGTCTGACTGTACAAGACTCATTAAATATGTACAAATAATAGATTTTGAATCCAATAAATTAAAGAAAAACTCTAAAATATGTCAGCCCATAAGCAAATTAGTACAAACATTAGCCAATTAATAAAATATTATCAATATTAGCCAAATGCTACCAATATTAGCCAATTAGCTATCTGTAACAAAAAAATATACCAAATTTTGCTTTCTTTTGAGTGGGTGTTGTTGGATAGATTGGTACATCTTAAGGAGCTTGAGTGTCAGTTTTGGATGATTTGGTGAAGTTTTGAGGTGGTCTGAATTAAAAATTCAAAGTAGAAGATGAACATGAAAAAAGATATATGTGTATCACATATGTATCATATGTGTATCACATGCATATCCATGTATACCTGTGTGTGAGATACTTGGGTGATACATGTATTAACAACGAATTTTGATATTAAATTAGTCCAAATCACATCCAATCTTTTTCAAATTTTGTATGTTAGACGCGTTTATATGTTTTCAATGAATTTCAACCATACTCATCGAAAAAGATTCCTTTTAGCTTAGGTTTTTGGAATATTTTATATATAGTTTTTCTTTGTGTTTTATCACCTTATTTGTTACCTCATCCATGAAATTTTCTTTCTGTCTTGCATCTAATATTGTTAATTATGCTTAAAAATACGAAAAGAGATCTTTGATAAGTCTATATTTAATGGCTAGATGTTGTAAATTTGAGCTTATTTTAGACATTTTCGTAAGGTTCTCTAAATTAAATGAAGGTGGTAGAATTATAAATCAAATCATCATTTCCTCATGTTACATTGCTATAAACACTCATCAAATCAAAGGAGGATGTGGACCTGCAATGTCGTTTGAAGTCAAACTTGCTACACTGGTACTCAAGCTTAATTGTACTTTTTGTACTTGTTGCCATATATTTCTATGACTACTCTGTTTGAAGGGTTCTCCAATCCAATCGTTCTTTATCAAAGAATAATCTGTCTCGTGTTTAACTTATATACACTAATAATACAAAAGAATTCATCTAAACATGTAACAGTTGATAATAAATGAGATTAGCAACTTGATGCAACAAAGTTAAAATACACCAATAGCGTATATTGTAAATAAAGTTAAATTCCCCCAACAGAGAACTGGCCTGGTTCGGAAGTGAAAATAAGTAGGTGTAAAAGAAAGATGAATGGGGAAGTTGCAAATGAAGAGTTTACTCATTGAATGTACAAAAGCTCTAATCCTCTATAACACAAATATTTTACTCACTAGGACTAGGATAATTACAAGCATAGTCTCTAAAAATTCCACAAAAAATTGCTAACATATACCTTCAGTTTACTGAGTGATCTAAGGACTAGGAACTCTATCTATTATTTATTACACAAAAAAAACCCAGCAAGAGTTCCTTCGGCGACATCAGTTGGTAGTCCGGTGCATAAGGTATCTCACGTTCACGCAAGGAACGTTCGGGGAGGATCGCACCTAAGGGGTGTGATGTAGACAGTCTAATCTAATGCAAGCATTAGTGATGACTGCTTTCACTGCTCGAACCTCTGACCTATAGGTCATATGGAGATAATTTTACCGTTGCTCTAAGACTCTCCTTCAAACCGGAAAAAAGTTCAGCGATAGACATATACAATGTCAAAAGAAAGAGTGAACCAACTCAGCTTCCCGTTGCTGGACTGAGAAGACCCATACGTTCAGCAAGGTTTTCTACATTAAATCCGCGACTCCACCAATATCTCTGGTTTTCTGCTAACATGCTATCACACGTTAAGCCATCGATGTCTTTACTTACTATCTCAACTTCCTGCGGCTCAGATAAACCAGGAGTCTCAGTTAAGAATTGTTGCCAAAATACATCATTACCCGAGTTTGACACTGATTTAGACGTGTCAGTGTTACTTTCAACCTGATTTTTCATCGCATCAATACTCAAAGTACTGGTGATCTTGGTATTTGTATTGCTCTGATCTGATGGCTTAAGTTGACATTCTAAATTGATATAAATCGATGATATGACAGGACTCAAAGGTCCTCCTAACTCGGGCGAGGATTGTATATCCCCTGAAGGCGATGATGGGTGATCGATAGGAGAGTTTCTTTTGCCAGAATCATCCGATAAAGTATCCATTTCATGTATAACAATTGGAGAAGGTAAAGGTTGTGTATGCTCAAAATCACACATTTGATCTTCGGTTGGAGTCTTCTGAATTCCATATAGAAAACGTTCCCAAAAATTGATTGAAGAATCCAGCTTTTTAACTACTTCCATGTCTAACTTTGGAACAACTATAGAGTTAGTTGTATTCTCTTCCTCAATTAAGTAATTGGAAACTAACAACCGTCTTTTCTTGCTGTTATTGTTTGTGCATTCGATAAAATCGGACGAAAATTCAGGCCTTTGCAATAATTGAGCCAAAAGAGAGATCAATTTCCCCTGCCTATGAACAATATTATGCAAACGTTGTTCCATTGAGTTAACACCAAACTCATATTCTTGATTAAATTTCTCATGCTTTTCAGCTGATGACTGAAGTAAGCTATTTTCCCTTTTCAGCCTCTCAATTTCTTCTTCATATTCTTGTCTTTCTGAATCAGTCAATGGCGCCACAGATTGTGATCCTGTTGCCGAGTGGCTGTGGATCGGCTTTCGTCTATAAATATTCTTCAATAAGTGTCTCTGTCCTCTTAAAAACTCCTCATTTGCAAACTCCCATTGTTCAGGATCCACCTTTCTGAACCCCTATAGAATGATAAATAAATAAAACTTTGTTAAACAAAAAGTACTTAAAACGAAAAAGAATGAGAGTTTTGGCGTAACTGATAAAGTTGTTGCCATGTGACCATAATATCACGGTACTTTTGTGGTCCGACAATTCCCCGGACCCGCGCATACGGACTGGCCATTTATTTAAAACTGAAAAGAGCTTAAAAATGAACTCAAAAGGATGGTACACTTACATAAGTATTAAGTTGTCTGATAAAGCTGGAGAAATTATTGTGCTTAAAGTATTTTGGAAGCAAATCTCTAGCAAACTCAGGTGGATTCCAAACAACGAAGCTACGGCCATTATGATTCCAAGAAACGACTGGATTTGTGTAAGGATCATCTACTAATTCATATGTCTTTGACAAGAAAGGAGCTGGAGAAGAACTTGAACCGCCGTTACAATTTTCCATAATTATACCAAACATATGAACATATACCAACCAAAATTAAGAAGATCCTCAATTTAACAAACTTTTTTGGGTTTCTTACTTTCACGTCTAAAAGAAAGAGATGGACCGTGGACACAACCAAGATTAAATTAGTATATGTAAACTGCGAAGATTAAAAGAAAGATATCCAGGTTTGAATGGGAAAGGGCAAGAAAATTATAAGAAATGAGATCATAAAGATAGGTGGTTTAGAAGAAACTAAAAAGAGGAGTGTATATAAAAGGGGGAAGGACTAAGGTGAAAAGAAAATAGTGTTTATTCATAATTCAGATTGACTGAGAAAGGGAAGACTTGACTTTGAAATTGGATTGGAACAAGTGGTGGAGAGAACTTGGGCCATGTTGGGGTTAGGGGAAGAATGGAGTTATGTGTATATTTTTTGCATGGAATATTCAACGGTCCTTTTTGTTCATTTGTCTTTTGACTATTTTGCTTCGCTTTCAGCGTTCCAACTTTGAAGATATACAAATAGGGAGCACGAGAGTAAGAATTTTGTAGTCAGAGATATCATGATTTATGACTTTTTCTTTCTTTAATTAGGAGAGGCTGCTACCAATTTGACTGAGTGCTCTGTATTTCCTTTTTAGAATAATATATTAAAGAGTGTACTACTAATACCGCACTTCTGACACTGCAGATATTTTAAGTCTAATTTATTCCGATTTTTAAGTGTATTTGTTTTTTTTATAATAACCATTTATTTACTTTCAATTGGTTGGTTTATTCAAATAATATAAAGAATGTTAAAATTATTAATATGTCATTTATTTAATATTGATATATAATGTGATCTTTTACCATTACTGTGTACAATTACCATCATCAGTACCACCAACTACCTTCTCCGTTAGTTACCACCACACATTCTTCACCACTAGCCATCTTCAGTACTAACCTCCACTACACAACCGCTATGCCGCCAACCACTTCCATAGTTCGTCACTGCCACCCACCACCATCCATCTTTACTACAAGTTGTCTCGACATTTAGCTTCTATAGCAGAACCATCACTACGAACCATCGTCACCAACCACTTTCAATATCAGTTACTAGTGTTGGTCTGTCTTGATCATCAGAGGCGGATTCAAGATTTAAATTTTATGGGTTCAACTTTTAAAATTTTTAACATTGAACTCATTATATTTTTAAAGTTATAGGTTCGTATCTACTATTTTTACTAATAAATATTTTTACTCCGCGTCGAAAGTTATGAGTTCAATTGAACTCGCTGAGTATATGCTACATCCGCCCCTTTTGGTCACTGTCGTACGACCATTACCTTTTGCCACCATCTCATAACCACCGCCAATTATCATTGCATGAACATCACCACCAACCTCCTCCACTAACCATAATCCTTGTGCAACCACCACGTCACAATAACAATTGTCGACCAATCCAATTACTAGTTGCCACCAAGACCATATTTTTAAAGTGCACTTCATCAAACAAATAGTTGTGATAAAACCATGTAAATTACGATTTTTTCTAATATATATTATGTGGATAAGTTTTTAAAATAGTTCAACAAAGTTCAACATGCTGACTTTCATATTCCGAATTTTGCCTTTTTTGGGGGGAATACATGGAGTATATTGCAAGACTTCTATGATTTGATTCAACATTCATTTTTATTGATCAGACCAAGCTCAATTATTAAAAACTTAATGATATTCAAAGGTTAGAATTCTTTACTATTTTTGATTCAAATGTTAGAATTTATTTGATTAAGGGGTGAAATCATTTACATTTCCCAACTTTACTTAAAAATTAAATTCTTTCTCCAACTATTAGCAATCATTCTCCTTCTCCAACTTTAAGCAATTGACATTCTCTTCTCCTATCTTATGCAATATCTATTTTGCCCTTAACAATTTTAATCCCCTCTATATATATAAAAAAAATTCTATTATGCTTGACTATATATTTTACATGGGTGATATACCTATAATTTAAATTATGTTAGAAGGAGGAGAATGTCAATTGTTCGAAGCTGGAAAAAGAGTTTGACAAGCAAAGTGAAGGGATGTCAATGATTTTCATCCTTTTATTACGTTTTGATTCCTGGCACATGAGTGACTCAAATCTGCTCCCTGACTCTCATCACCACAGATCAATTAAATTGAGTTCGTTTTAATTATTTATATGGAAACTTTACATAATTGTCAGAGTTTAAAAGAAATATAACAAATTCTTAGCATGAAATCCAATATTACAGTTGTGGCAAAAAAATATTTATATTTGTAGCACACAGTTCCATTAAAATAGAAATATTAATTATTTATCCCTAAACATAAGCAATTTGAATGGAAAGTCAATAATTCTTTGTACAAAAATCATGTCTTTTTTTTTTCTCTTTATCTATTAGCTTTCCTTCTTTTTCTTCATCTTCTTAATTTCGTCATCTCCCGAAGCCAATATATTTTCTAAATTTGTTCCATTCGTTTTCTTTTTAATTATCTTTCTTAAGTTTTTCTCTTCCTTCTTTCTTCCTTTCTTAACATAAAGATCTTTCTTCGATAATAATATATGTTAATATATACAAAACGTATATATAAAAAATATACATTGAATTAATACATATAAAATATATAAAAAATATACATAAAAATACATCTTCAATTAAGATGACACTTAGACATGTGAAATATACATAAAAAATATATCTTAAATTTAATTAAGATGGCTGCATACGGTCGAAATCGGGCATACCCGATTTCGGTGGCAGGGGAGTTGCCTCAAGGGTAACCTCATAATAGATCGGGCTCGAGCTCGAAAATAGAACATCAAACCTGGAGATCGAAGTGTTCATTGAGATCGAGGCCAGCAATAATCGAGATCAAGCATAACTGACTTCGAGTAAGGCGTAATAACAGAATGGCGAGATGTCAGTAATCGGTTGAAGATCACGGCAAAAATTCTGGAATAGATCAAATCAAAGCGGTTATTAGTGCCAATCATGGGATCTATTTCCGTTATTAGAGTTGTACCTTATTTATGATTCTTCTATCATATAAAGAAGAATCCCATTCACTTGTAAGAAGGAGATTCATTGATAGGAATATACACACACGCTACCTTCTTTGTTCTTACTATTCATCGTTGTTTGTTCCATCCTCTACTGTTCTTATTAACCAACCTCGATACTATCTCGAATCGAGGTCGAGGCGTTGTTTGCAGACCAGTTTGATTTATTTTATTGTCTAATTTATCTATTTAATTCGTTGTTTATCAATTGGTACTGGTTTAAATCACATATCTTTTAAACCACAATATAAGTTTAATTATTACTCAATTTTTAGGGTAAACAGTTTGGCGCCCACCGTGGGACTAAGGATAATAGTGATTGTTCAGTACTGATTATGATAAAATACACTATTTTACACTTGTTCTTGTCAAGTATCTTTGCTTTCAGGTTAAAACATGTCAAACTCACAAAACGCATCCACACACGGTGACAATGGCCTCAGATTCCACGGTGAAAACGAAAATGTGATTGCTCCAGGAGTCGAGGTGCCACATGCTAATCTCGGTGGAGCACTGGTTGCCAACCCAGTCGATGTCAGTTCGCACGTTTCTCTAAACATGGACCTAGGCTCAAATCTCGATGGGAGTGTACGCAGGGAAGGCCGATCTAGTGGCCAAGGAACACAGGGCAGACGAAGGAGCCAGTCTCCAAGTGATATTCGAGATGCTTCAGGCTCAGCAAGCCGCTATTGCTCAGTTACAAAATCAACATATAGCTCTGAATAGGGTCGATCCGGAAATTAATCGTCGTACCGAGCCAGTACCGAAAAGGCCGAATGGTAACGAATCGGGGACTGATCCTGCGGTAATGAAAATGCTCAAGGAGCTCACCAAAATAATTGAATCAGGGGAGAAGGAAATTGAAGCCAACGATAAAAAAGGGGAGACATACAACTCTCGAGTTGATAAGAGACCGGGGGCACCGCAAATCTTGAAAGGGATGGATTCAAAGAAATTTTTACAAAAGTTGTTTCCTCCAAGTGCGGCTCCGAAGCCTATTCCAAAGAAGTTTCGTATGCCAGATATACCAAAATATAATGGGACCACTGATCCCAACGAGCATGTTACTTCATATACATGCGCCATCAAGGGTAACGATTTAGAAGATGATGAAATCGAATCTGTGATGTTGAAAAAATTCGGAGAGACCCTTTCGAAGAGAGAAATGATTTGGTATCACAACCTGCCACTAAATTCCATCGACTTATTTGCCATGTTAGTAGATTCTTTCGTAAAGGCACACGCCGGGGCCATAAAGGTCGCAACGAGGAAATCAGACCTTTTCAAGGTAAGACAAAGGGATAATGAAATGTTGAGGGAGTTTGTGTCCCAATTTCAAATGGAGCGCATGGAGTTGCCACCGGTCACAGATGATTGGGCCGTTCAAGCTTTCACCCAAGGGTTGAACGAGCGGATTTCGATAGCATCACGTCAGTTGAAATAAAATTTGATCGAGTATCAAGTTGTAACTTGGGCAGATGTGCACAATCGATATCAATCAAAGATCAGGGTCGAGGACGACCAATTAGGAGCCCCTTCCGGTTCAGTACATCCAAACAGGTCAGCAGTTAAAAACCAGAGGTACATCGACAGGGAGACAAGGTCGAATAGAGACCGATATCAACCATATACCACAGATCGAAGGAACAATGGTTCAAGATGCAATTCCGCCCAGAACGATCGAAGAAGTGATCGAGGACATAATTCTAGGGGACTTATGAGCAAAAATGGTTTTGACAAGTATGCTGATCCCACAGAGGTACCTTGGTTATCGGAATATAACCTTAGCATCGATGCATCGGGCATTGTATCGGCAATCGGAAGGATCAGAGATACTAGTTGGCCCAGACCCATACAAACCGATCCTTCCCAAAGAAACCCAAATTTGATGTGCAACTATCCTGGCACGCGTGGTCACAAGACCGAGAATTGCAGGCAATTAAGGGAGGAGGTAGCCCGGCTATTCAATGAGGGCCACCTTCGAGAGTTCTTCAGCGATCGAGCCAAGAATCATTTCAGAGAAAGGGACGCCAACAGGAAAAATGAATAGGAGGAACCCCAACATATCATTCATATGATCGTCGGTGGGGTCGACATTCCACAGGGACCCATCTTCAAACACACTAAGGTATCAATCACTAGGGAAAAATGAACCAGAGATTATGTGCCCGAAGGCACTTTATCGTTCAACAATGAAGAATCAAAAGGTATTTCTCAGCCCCACAACGACGCTCTGTTAATTTCTATCTTATTAAATAAAGTTCAAGTTAA